ACCCAATGATAAATGTAAACGTATTGTATACCTAAAATGTACCAATAAAAGAATTTAAGCAAAAAAAAAAAAGAAATTATTTTGTCAAATAAGTTACATGGATATTTTTTCACTTATTTTTCTTATATATTTGTATTGACATTCTTATTGAACCTTGTAGCTTAACTTCTTTGTGAGAAGTAGGCTTCTTTCACAGTTTATAGTTCTTATGCACATATTTCTTTAGGTAAGTTTTCCAGAATTTCCTGCAGCAAAAGAATTCCAAACAGAAATAATCAGTCCATTTATATAAAAGCGTTTCAAAGAGTTCAAAGGGGCTATATCAGTACTAGACACTTGTTATTGAAGTTTATTATATTAACCTTATAATATTTTAATGATCATAATTATACTGTACAAGTACTCATAGAGCAAAAGAAAAGTCTGAAACTCCTAGTATTTTATCTACAGGCTGTTCTTCATATGGTAGGAGAATGTATCAAATCACTTGATAACATTGGTTTTTGGTATTAAGTTTGGTTTGAAGGAAAAAGAAATCACTTGTATTTGTAAACAAATAGCTTTATTCATATCTCCTTGATGTGAAAATGGTACTGTTTATTCTTACTTTGGAGAAGAAAGGGTTATATAAAAAGCAGTAAGTATCTGCTATCAGAGCTGAATTATATCTAGATAGGTGCTTTGCATGATGGTTTTGGTGAACTGTTAAGAATTGAGGGGCCAAGGATTTAGCTCAGTGGCACTGCACCTACCTGGCAGGTACAAGGTCCTGAGTTTGATCCCCAGTACCAAAAAAAAAAAAAAGAATTGAGGCAATCTATAAAAATTGTGAGTATGAATATGGAGTGTTCAAGTAAGGTTTTTTAAATCTGTGCTTTCTAGAACCCTTCCATATCCTTATTTTAAAACATGATGTTGGGTAAAGTGCATACAATCTGAAATACTTCAGATACTAGAGTAATAGCAACAAAATAAGCAATTTTAAAGGACTTTCATATATAAGCAAAGCCCCCTTGCAGGACCTTAAGAACAGTACTGTATCAAGATTCTAGAATTTTTATAAGTAAATATACATGAGTGAATAAAATGTAAATTTTATCTAATTTCAAAATACTTTTACCTTAAATGCAAAAATGGCATCTAGTAAAATACTTCTATAGAAGAATGACTGTTCTAAATTTAAAAGTATATCTTTCATTTGGGATAATTGGATTAAGTGAAATGTCTGCTAATAAAAATCTACTTCTATCTTTCCATATTTAAAAATGAAACAATGTGTAATATCTTCTAAGAAACAGGGACCATAGGTTTTCTTGTCACTGATTACTAGAGTGTAAAAGTGCTTGACTTCTGTTGTTTAATGATTGAACTTAGAATTTAGAAAATTGCTATGAAATTGGATCCAGATAAAATTTAAAAGTTTGATTTAGTTTAATAGCAAGACATGGGTAGAACCATGTGAACACTTACCATAGCAAGTGCATCAGCGTAGACGAATCAGTGCTCAGTGCCAAAGGGAAGATGAGGCAGCCCTAGCTTGCCACTCCTGTTCATCTTTCACCCTCGCTCTAGTTAATTTCAGTTAATTCATCTCTTGAAGGTTGATGCAAACAACAAAAATCCATACCCCACCATTTTCATGAGACATGGTTTTCTGAATGTTGTATCTTTTCTTTATGTTGTTCAGTACCAGGTCATTTTGGGGAATCTCCATAGGAGGAAAATTGCCAGTCTGAAAGCTCAGTGTCTTTAGCATTCTATTGCTTATCACATTTTTGCCCTCTAGGTGCCAACCTGGATTCACTGGAGCAAGATGTACTGAGAATGTGCCCATGAAAGTCCAAACCCAAGGAAGTATGTTAAAATAATCTGAAATTTGTTTTCTCCCCCCAAATACAGCAACAATCACTACCACTTGGTGCTTTTACAGCTCAGTTGTAACTGATTCCTTTTGTTCTAATTGTGGTTTATCCACTCAAGAGCATGAACCCTGTCACTATGATCTGGCTTAGGTGTCTTTCCACTTAGGTCCCAAAGTCACCCATGTGACAGAATGGCAGTCAGGATTGCCTGTGAGGCTGGCGAGCAGTGGCAGCCAAGCCAACCAAAAACATTTCCTTCCAACATCTTTGACTAAAACCATCAAAATAGAAAACTGAGATGAATGAAACATCAGATCTTCATTGCTAAGTTTCCCTTTGAAAGAAAGCAGTCACTTAAAATGCTGGGATCTTTCTGTCATACAAACCCAAAAGCTGCATTTTTTCCAAATTTTGAACTATTTGGGGGGCATGCCAGAGCCTAAAAGCCATGATTAGGACAAAGATTCAGTTCCTGAGGGTGGACTCACCAAGATCAGTGAAATAACACTGATGGAGCTTCTTTCTAGCATATATTCACCTCTTCTCTTTTTCTCTGTTTTTTTCTACCATTGTTTTTTGTTTCTTCTCTCAGGTGCCCAAATGAGTTTACTGGTGATCGCTGCCAAAACTACGTAATGGCCAGCTTCTACAGTACGTCCACTCCCTTTCTGTCTCTGCCTGAATAGGAGCATGCTCAGTCGGTGCTGCTTTCTTGTTGCTACATCTCCCTCAGATTTCAACTAGAGCTAGATGTGTTTTACCAGGTCTAATATTGACTGCCTCTGCCTGTCGCATGAGAACATTAACAAAAGCGATTGTATTACTTCCTCTGTTTGTGACTAGTTGGCTCTAAGATACTAATAGGTGTGTGAGGCTCCGGATGTTTCTGAAATTGATACTGCATAATGTGACACAAACTGATAGTCATTATTAAGCAGTGAAATTATAATAAAGGCATTTAAAAGTTGCACTGTTATTGGTAAAATAAAACCATTCCACTGAGCAGTCCACCTTCTGTATCTATGTCAACATCCTGAAAAGGCTGTTGCTAAGTTGTAACCAGTTTGCACTTGAAATGATGGTAAGTTAATTTGGATTCAGAGTGTGCTACTTACAACAAATAAACATCATAAAAAGAGTTCAGATGTTTCTCTTCTTTAAACAAACAGTTTTCATGTAGGCATTTAAAAGAAAGCATGAATAGAAAAATTAAAAACAAACATTTCACAGCAAATGAAATATCCTGGCTTCTGTTTAGGTTGCTTAGGGAATAGGTAATTCAGGGATAATTTAAATAGTCATCTTTGTGCTAGGATTTCTTTATTTAGCATTCATTATGTTAGTTGCAAAGGTGATTTTAGGAGAAAATAGTTACTGTTATTTTAAACAATATTTTTATACTTTGAAATGTTAACAATTGAGCTCTAGAATATATATGTATTTTTTACATGCAGATTTGGGAAATTCTAGTAGATTTCTATGGCTTCATGGTGTTTTGAACATCATTCCTAAAATACCCAGTTCACATTGTGTATAACTCCGTGGATAACTAAACTATTTATTTGTCCCTCTGTTGTGAACGGGGATTATAGCTTTTGGTTCTAGAGCATTCAAAACATTGCCTTCAAAATGGATTCCATTTGGTTATCCATCCAGCTCTAGCAAATTGTTATGTAAAGTTTCGGATAACAAATATTTTAGAGTTTGTGGCGGTGCCATCGTTGCTCAACGACTCAGTTCTTCCATTGTAGCATGAAAGCAGCCATAGACAGTCCATAAATAGATGTGTGTGGCTGTGTTCCATTAAATCGCCATTTACAAAAAAGCAGGCAGTGGGCTGAATTTAGCAAACCCTGATTTGTTTTCTCAAAATGTCAGTTACCCTGAAAATTATTCACATAGCCCATTGCAATTTGAATTTATATAACACAATAATGACACAGCTGGCCATGTAGGGGCCCTAAAAGAATCAAAGAGTTATCCTTGTTATGATGCATGCAAAGAATAAGGTTATGTTTAACAGTCATAAAAGTTTATGAGAATAAATTCTACAATGCACTATGGCAAGGTTATGCCCATAGTAGTCATTTTGTGAAGTGATGCTTATTATATACTTACATAAACTATGTACTGAAGATTATGTCACAGTTCATTTTCTATTGTAAAAACTTGACAAATAGACATTGCTAAATTTTCAAATATAGTCTTTATTCACAACTAATTAAATAATATGCATTTATTGACTAAGATATTTCTCTCCATAGCTATAGATTTTTAAAGGTAGATAAGGTGACAAATATAAATAGAAGAAAAAAGTAATTTTATTGAGTATGTTATAACCATTCTTTTTAGAAATTTGTACTTGTAGTCAAATAGCAATAGATGTAACAAATCCATTTGCCTCTGTAAATACAATAAAATCAGATTTTAGAAATGAATGAGGATTCTGAACATTTAAGCTGTATAGTTTCATTGTGCAGTGAAGACGATGTCTGGTCACTTTATAAAGAAAAGCAATGAAAATGAAGATATTTCCCAGAATAATAATGCAGTTAGATCTGAGAATAGTAACCAAAGAAAATGTTTTCATTCACTTTATGACCATTTTCTCTTTTATAGGATAGCACTTTCAAATAGCCATGCTGTATTTATAAAGTCCAGAGAGTGAATCCTTCAATAAAGTCTTTAGTAAGCATTCAGTGACACTTGTGGAAGACATCCAGGAAATTATCATCCATATATAACCTGATTTAACCAAGCTTGATAGGAAGCATATTTATTTGCAAAAAAATGTAATGACTGTGCATTATTGATGCCTCATGTCTGGAAGTCAAGAGGTTCCAATCAAACATTGCTTTCCAGAATTGTCTTGCCCAGAGTTAATTTTTTAACCTTGATGTCTGAAATTCTCATTTTTTTTATCTCAACAAGTCCCTATGTGGAGGGTAAGAAATTAAATTTTTGCTGCACTAAGAAAGAACTTTATTTTCAAGTAGCAGTGAAGGCTGAAAAAAAGCTTAGAAAATGTTATTACAGAGGTCATTTAAAATTTGTTTGTAGACATAGTCTCTGAAGAGCATAATATAAATTTTCAAAGAAAAAAATAGTCCCTCTCACCAAAGTGAAACAATTAAATCTTACCAAACCAAGTTTTCTTTTGAAGAATAATATTCTAAAAGAATGTATATGTATATAATTTTAAAAATATTTGTTAACATATAACTTACATATTAGAATTTGATACAGTGATTCTGGTCAGAATGTCCTATCAGGCATTTGTTGACATATAAAAACTGATTTAAAGTGTGAATGAAAGAAAAAATGCATGTTTTATAAGACAGCCCCTTGTCTTGAAATATAACATATTTATAGTACTTCCTAGAAAAATACTGTCAAGTTGAGTCAGCTTCAAATTCAACCTATCTTGACACAATTCCTAATTGATATAGAATTGTGTCCACCAATATGTGGTATGGGTTATGGATGTGTTTGTGTGTGTACGTGTGTATGTGTGTGTTCAGGTAGTCCTTAATATATAAACTTTCCAGGAAAAGAAAAAACATTCACAGCTTCATTAGAGGTAATATGGAGCGAGTACATCCTATAGAAACTAACAAATAATAACTAATTATAGACTAGCTTAGTTTATAAAATATTTTAAACAGTACAATTTTAGAACTCTAAGGCACATTCTTAAAATGAGTCAACTTATTGGATATCTTTAAAAGTAGTTGTGAATCATATGTTATTAGTGCATCAGTCATTTCATGGCTTTCTTTCTAAATGCTTTTAAAACCTGTTGAAATGATGTATTTACCAAACATATGTATCTTACTAATGGTAGAATAAAGACACATTCTACCTATGACAAAATTGTCATAAATTCCAACTGAGTGTGAGATTTTACTGTGTGTGTGTTTGTGTGTGTGCTTATTGCCTATGAAAACTTTGGAATAAGGAAAAAATGGGCTCAGTGACAATATGGATTGGTCTATATGAAAAAAATCTGCATTTATAAGGTAAGTCTAAAGTTCAAAGTCAGACACTAAATTGTTCCTATTTAGAATTGGCACTGACAAACTTCATTTAGAAATCTTAGAGTGCAGAAAACCAAGACCGCCCATATTTTTGAAATTATTTGCATAAACAAGCCCAAAATACTAAAGAATAAAATCCTGAATATCTTCAAATTTTAACAGAAAACTATAATAACAAGACATATAATTTTAGTGAAAGAGAGCTATTTCACTATGCTTTTTCCCCAGTGCAACTGAAAATTTAAATTAACCTCCAGGTTAATCAGTTTTCTTCAAGCAATTATAAAATCCTAAGGCAAAGAATTAGTGAGTCAATATTTAATAGTTTCTGAAGACTCTTAGATTTAAATTAATTTTTTATATTGCTTAGGGCACAGCAGGAAATCACATGTAGAAAAGGAAACTAAATTGTTTACAGTAACCTTTGTGTTTTTGAATTATTAATTTAATTTGAAAAATGTAGTGGCTAGGCAGAAGTTCAATAGGAAGCCTGTGATACATAATGAGCCTAAGCCAACATTAGATTAAACAGAACAGATAGAAATAACCTCTTCATGAAATGGAAAGTGTTGCATATTCTCCTGTTTTGACTCATGATGAAAAAAAATGTAGCTACCAATAGTAAAAATAAATGAGAGCAGTGTTTGCTCTGGGTCTAGAATGACAGATGCATGCTTCCTTTGCTTGTTTCCTTGTTAGGGCTTATGGCCAGAAGGATTCCAGTTTTAAGTACCAATTTCCCATTGAATTATTTGAAATTGGAACTGCCTGATATGAATGACTTCCCTTGAAATGAAATTATCGTTAGGCTCAGAGACTTACCTATAAAACTGTAAATGCAGTAATATGTATGCATGGGCATGCTACTAATTTTATTGAAGACTTAACCAAGCTTTCTATGCAACTAATATAGATCATTAGCAGTGTTCACGTAGGCATGGAATAATGATTCCTTAGAAAGGTTTTCTTTCTGTAGCTGTGTCTTGATTTTAACCCTTAAATTATTACTGACTGGTAGAAGAAAAGGAAAAGAGATGGATGGAGGGGCTTCTAAGAAGAAAAGTGGGTCCCATCCTCATTTCTTTGGAAAATAAGTATTTTCAGATTGATGTTCCAAAGTTTATATGAAGAAAGAAAATAAGAGAAATTGAATATTGAACAGAGACAAGAGATATTTGTTTGGACTTGGATAAATTATTTTACTGTGAACATCTTATGCAACAAAATCCCTTGGCTTTTAATTTATGAAAAAATTCAGGTTATTTGTCTGAGTACACTGGTCCCCAGACAGAGGAAACTATTATACATAGTGCCTCCCATTATTAATATATGTATAGGTATTTTTTAAGTTTGGGAAGCATGATTTCTTTAAAGTCTGTTTCTTATATATATTCCAGGAGTTTACAGAATTGTCCTGGCCATGAAATTAGTCAAAAGTAAACCTGAACGCTGTAAATGGCCTGAGATACATCTCCAGATGTGTCTGGAGATATTAACCCCTCTGCTGTTGGCCAACAAATTTCATGTCTTCTTTATTCCATAGTTTACCCAGTGAGGCATGTATGTATTACGCATTTGGTCAATGAGAAGTTAACTTGTCCAAAGTCACTAAACAGATAAATGGAAGAGGCAGAACCTGAAGCCAAGATGACCTCAGCACTCTAACCTTCGTCTCTTCCTCCTCTACAGGAGGTACTTTCTCCACACCCAAATGGATGTTTTGCAAGAGTGACATCCCTCCACTCTTTCTAATGTAAGAGAAGTCTTGTTATGATACAAGATTGCTAACTCTGAGGTCATTGATCAAGGGAAGAAAATAAAAACTTCTCTTTACATTCCACCCTTCCTTCCCACCTACCTCTTCACCACTGACCACATGCAATTAAGGGAAGTCCTAAAGGCTTCCACACAAGGAAATATTTTTAAAGTTTAGTTTTTATATTTATATTTATTTTTTCTTTTCCTCATTTCCCTGACTTCCTCATTTAGTCTTGTGCAGGTCCTGCTCTCCTGCAGTCCTGGGGTCTGCAGAGTCAGTGCTGCCAGGATTCTAGGCTATAGGCTCACAATTTTGAATCCCCTGCCTTGGGTGGACCTCATTACTGTGCCCAGGGGGCTCAGCACCGTGGCAGAGATGATCTAATTGTTACTTGAAAGAGTAGTAAATTTAAATTAATTTAAATTAATTTAATTTAATTGGCCCCAGAAACTATATACCCCCCCCCACACACAATTGATTTTTTTTCTTTTTTTCCAATTTGAAAAATTAAGGCTTGGAATTTTCCAATACTGCACAAACATTATATGAAAAAAATAAAACTGGAAGCAATCTTCAGTGTCCCAACTCAACTTTTTTGTATCCTAGATTTTTGGGTGCAAAAAGATTTATTGTTTTATATGAGTGAAGCATACCAAGAAAAGATACGAAGCTAAAAAATACAGAACAAGAACTACTGAAGTGTTAACTGCCCACCTACAATGAAAACCTAAGTCTAACATCATAAAATTCTCATGTCCAATTATTATCCTCTTGGCTTCTACTCCTGGCTCTACCACTGTGTATCTTTGAGAAAAAAGAAATTCAAATTCACCTCTTTGGAACATTTTTTTTTAAAAAAGAATTATCAGATGCCTTACCTGGTTATAAAAATGTTTCTTTTCTCAGAGGGGAGTATAGAGGTCAGCTCAGCCATGTAACTTCTCCTTCAGTAAAGTCTTTTAAGGGTTAAGGGGATGCTTACTTGAGCACTGCTGTGTGAACCAACTGCCACGCGTCTGTCCCATGTGCACGCACGGAGCTGTGATAGCCATGTGTAATGTGTTTTGGAGTGCAGTGTATTGCTCTTTTCTGAAACTTTTTCCCTTTCTTTTTTTGTCAACTTTCTGCATTGGCAGAGCATCTTGGGATTGAATTTATGGGTATGAACCAATCATCATTCCTTTTAGCCTGCAGATTTTAGAACCTATGAGCTGATATCTTTTTCTTCTCTTACTTTTCAGTTTCTAACTAATTTCCTTTTTCTTTAGAAGGGATCATACAGCTATAACAATGATTTCTCTACTTTCCATCTATGATTAGTTCACTGAAATGTTACTGAGCACAGAAGTTTTTAAATTCCCAAACTACCTTCACTTAGAGTTTAACCCCCCCACACACACCTGCTGCAGATTCACATAGATCCCACATTATGCGACCCAAAGCTGGGGTGAGAATGGTGCATATTGCTACAGGAGAAATCAAACCAGAGACTTGAGAACAAAAGAGACTCTAAATGCATCTGTTTAAAAGCCTCACCACATCTCAGACTAATGTGAGTTTAGTATACAATGTAAAAATCATCTCTTTAATATAGTAACATAGAAAGCTCTTACATGACAATACAGCACTGCAGGCAAAGACTTGAGATACTCAAGTTTTCTAGAGATATTCAAGAATGACTCTCAACTTCATTGTCTTATGAGCAAAGAAAAAACAGAAGCCTTGTGCTATTTTAAGTGCAAATCTTAGGGCTAATAGAATTAAATTTGAGTCACTAATATTATCCAGACAAGTAATCAAATAGGAAATTTCACACTGTAAACATAAAAAGAAAAAAATACCTCCTCGGAGCAGTTGAAGTTTGGGCATACTCCTGAAGGCCTTCATTGTAATAGCTGAGCAAAAAGGCCAGTCCCAGAGGGTGCAGGAAGCTCTGATACTATCTGCAGCCTCCACAGTGCTGGGCCTGTTTGTCTTTCTGAGTGCTGTGCAGCCCTGGGACTGGGAGCCTGGGCCTTTGCACATTAAAGCATCTCTCAGTCATCACTGTTAGGGTTTCTGCCCTTCTGATAAAAAGTGTCCCGCTTCCAAAAGGCTGACAATATTGACCTTTCCTTCAGGGAAGAAAGAGTTCCACCATTACTCCTACCCTTTGTCACTAACAGGATGTATGTATCCCATGCCATAGTTTTAGGGCCTGATTATAAAATAATATTTCTGTTGCCAAACAGTGAAGTCAAATAGTTGGGTTATGTAACTTCTCCCTCAATAAGTTCTCCTAAGGGTTAGGACAGACTGTGCTGGTAGCTGCTCACCTGCTTTCCAAAGGTTCTACAGCATACCAGACAAATGTACTACATCCTTTAAGAAAATCTGATCTGAAAGGTCAATAAAACTGAGAAAGGCAAAGGTTCTGTCTTTTGGCTTGGACACATCAGACCAGAAAATGTGCTTGATCTGACTTACTACAATGTGTCCAGCCAAACCTTACAGCCTCAAGAGCATTTGCACTCATGGAGACAGGTTTGCCCATTTGGACAGACTTTATCAATAGCAGTGTCTCTTAGTTACTCAATTCTATGGGGCCAGCTACACAAGCTAAACAAAGGAAAAATTAAGGGGAAAAAGGAAATAAAGGAACTCATTTTTGTTATTTTCAAAATATTTTCAAATATTTTTCCTTTAGTACATTCATATTGTGGGGGTCACCTGCTCTAGCAAAACCATAAAAAGTGTTAAGTGTTTAGTCAATGCTGATAGGAATACAGAATTTTAGTCCCTTTTCTGTATTCTGTGGGTCTTCCCTTTAATTGGTTTATTTTAGTACTTTTACATTTTTCCATTATTGAGCTACCTTTTTATTTCCAGGAAATTATTTGACATGGGAAAAATGGACCAGTCATCTTACGCCATTTATTCATAACCCTAACTTTCATAGTTAGCCAAAAGAAAACCCTTGTCTAAACAGTTCCTGAGCGTATACAGGATTCCATTTTTTTCCCCATCCAGCCCTTGTGTATGTGCCCATTTTGTTTGCCACAGCAGTTTCCCAGCTTTTTCTAAAGGCAAAATGTTAGAATGTCAGTGAAAAATTACAACGAAGTCCTCTCTCTCTCCCTCCCCTGCCCTCCATCATGGTACAGATCAAAGCCAAGGCTTCCTATATGTTAGTAAAGCAGTTTACTACTTAGCTACAACCCCATCCCTGACTTTACCATTTTAAAAGAAAAACTAAAATAAAGTAAGTGAGAGGCAGTAAAAAGCAGCACTTTCTTATTTTTGGCCACAATACTTACTCTTTTTTTTTTTTAATTGCCCATCCCAGCTCTGCGTTCTGGGTCCCGTGGAGAAGCACCAGAGGGGACAGTGCCTCTGCTTCTTAGGTTTAAGCTTAAGTTCAAAACTGATGGAGATGCCAAGGTCAGGAAGGTATCAGCTCACAGATGACACCTCCTCAAAAGTAATTCCCTGTGTGGTGGCTCTGAGGGAGGGAAAGCAGCAGACACAAGCAATTAACACACAAGCACTCGCATTCTATGTCCTTGTTTGACTTTTGTGGCACAAAAATCCATGACACCAACTCTCTGCCTCCCAGTACATTGTTGCACTGCACTGCACCAGCTGCTTTGCTTTCTAATTGTGGCTTCCACACAACTGCCAGCGTAGTTATGAGTTATGCTGTATGGGGTAACCCTTCCACCTTTGTACCCCGCTTTCCCCTCCCTCTCCAAGCATCTCCTCCCTCTAGTTTTCGTTTATCTTTTCTTCCTCCCTTAGTATCAGGCATGCTGTGCCAGGGACTTCAGATGGCTCCCCAACTTTTAACCTTGTTTTCCCTTGTACTTGACTTCCTTGCTCTCTGTCATTCTGTCAGTCAGTCTGTCCTCTTGGTTTGTTTTTCCTTTCCACTTCCAACCTTTTCAGTTTGTTTTTGTATAATTTGTGCAGCATTCTAGTATTATACCCACTGACTTCTATTCTCCTTCTCCTCCTGTTAATAATCAGTGCTCTATTAATTTGATTTGACAATGTTCTTGACCTGTTAACTGGGATTTGATTATCATGGGCTCGGCTTGTAGGAAATATTTTGTTTAATGATAAGGTCCACTGTATCCTAGAAATTAAAATCCACTTTTTCATTTCAAGAAAACTTCCAATGAGTTGCCCTCTCTCAATAGAGAAGAAGGTATTGTTGCTGAGACTGTTAATGTATAGTGGAAATATTTTTGGGTGTCTCTTGTTGATGTCCGTTTGTGCAATGATTCCCCCAATTGTTGGCAAGCTTAATTATAATGGCAGGTAAACAGTTCATACTGCTTACTATGTACTGGTTAAGTTCTCATTCTTAGTGAGCTTGTGAAGATCTTCCAATAAGTGTAATTAGACTGTTGGAAGTTCAGTTCCTAAGGGATCAAGGTCTCCATTAAGTCAGCAAATCTTGTTGAGAAGTTATCCCACCTTGATATAATCTTAGTATCTCTCAAAGAAGCTAATTTGTAAATAGAAAATTTTCTGTGAATTACAGATTGATTGTATTTCGAGTACAGTAGTACCTTTAGTACAAAGTTCTAAGCATAATACTTAGCAGAATGTCTATTAGCTAATTTGGCCAATGTGGGGATCTGCAGCTTGTTCCAACTTATACATCATTGTGCTATTGACTGACTTCTGTACACAAATGAATTAGTTCTTTAAATTCAACTGATGAAATAATAAGAATTTCCCTCTAAAGAACACATCTTCCTTTTGGCCTAAGACTACCCTTCCAATCATATTGGATTTTCTCTGATACAGTGCCTTGCTGTGCCTACTCTGTTGCTTCTTGTGTTTCGTATTTTATTGATAAATCATAGGGCTCTTACTTCAATTTACTTGCTAACTACAAGCCAAGTTCATGTTTGCAAATGTCTTTAAATTTAATTTTGTTACGGCTACAGATGACTCTTTGTAAAGACCACTGGATATGAATTAATGACATAATGTAGCTGAAAAATACAAAAAGGCTGGGGGTGGAGGTAGGGAAGGGAAGAAGGGAGGGTCTCAGTGGTACCAATTCTAGCTCCTTTTATTGCTTGGATTCTTGTTGTCTTTGCAAGAGTTTTTTACTTTTTAAAAGATTTTTCAAAGGGAGTTTTAAAAAATCTGTAGAGTTTTAACCAAATCATGCTATAATATATATATTTAATGTTTATGATTTTCCATTTTAATATTACATATATAGCTTAATATTAGAGTAATTGTAGAATGTAGTATTTTGTTGTCAGTAGCCCCAGCTGGCTTTATTATTTATGTACAAAGTATAGCAGACAGCATGTTGTACCTTACATATGTCCGTAAGTGTAAAGTATCGTTACATATTTATTGTGAACATGGACAATGTCAGGCAGCATGCCAGCTGTTCAGTTGTAGTAAGCCCTGGCAACTGTAAGTGACCTTGGTGACATCTGCTCTCACCCCTTTCCAGAAGCGGAGGAGCTCTATCAGAAGAGAGTGTTGACCATAAGTGGCATCTGCATCGCACTGCTGGTGGTCGGCATCATGTGTGTGGTGGCCTACTGCAAAACCAAGTAAACCTTCTTCTCCACACCCTTCTGTCTTCTTAGTGCAGATATGTTTAGGCAGCCAGTGCTTAGCAGGCACTAGACACAACATCCAAGAATAGAGACAGAACAGTGGAAGGACTTTCCTCTTGTTTTTCCTGGTAAATAATGCATTTTGAGGGTCTTTCCTAATCAAATACATTGGAAAACTCTGTCTACTTGTGTGAAAGTGCACAGGAGATTTCTGATAAGTAACTGCAGTACTGTGCATGAATAAAGGTTTGGAGTGATGGAATTCTGTGGAAGGCCAGAAGTGCACATGGGTACCACATAAGTGAGAGGACCGTGTGGGACTAGGGCTGTAGCTCAGTGGTAGAGCACTTGCCTAGCATATGTGCCTAATACCACAGAAATAAATAAAAAAAATCAAGGGCATTGTATAAATGCCAAACACGTGGTTAGCACAGAACTGTTAAGATCAAGTCCAATTTGCAAGCACCTAAAGGAGATAAGCACATAATGGTATTTAAAATGCAGTTTTCAGAACGTTAGAATGACTCTGTTTTGATCCTGTTTAATCAGATTGGTAGTATAAATGCTCTCAAAATGTGAGGTGAAAATCAAGCAAAACTTACTTTGAAAATATTAAAAATAAAACTTTAAAATAGATTTGTGATCAGTGTTTGGTCCTTGAAGCTTGGTCTACATTAACAGGTACATTTACTGTCTGCCCTCTTTCCTCCACTTCAGCTCTCCAATGTTTAATAAACAAGAGGTTTATTTATTTATTTTATATCATATTACTGTCTAGGCATAACTTGTTAGGGTTTTGGCATAATTATCATAATCTGAATGTTGCATTAATGAATAAAAGAAATACATGTTTATACCACAAAATCAAAAAAATGGCTTGTGTTTTTTCATACCTCATGATTTAGGATGTTGTTAGAATTGAGTAAGCTACAGGGATAAACCTTCATGGGACTGACCTCATAGGTCTTATTAGTGTCAATCTTAGTACTCACTGCCTACTTTTACAAAACATTTTAACAGTAGGATCATGTCACAATTGTGCTAAAATCCAGTGGCAGAACATGACCATAGTCTCACTTATATACATGTGATATTTACCTACATAGTAACTGTGTATAACTTACAAATTCAAAGCTAAGCTTCTTTTTTTAAGAGATCACACACACACACACCCACACCCACACACACACAAGAACTATGAATGGAATTAGCCTCATAAATTCTAAGGCACAAAGTGTTACTAAGGCAATTGGCCACCTGTAAGACTTAGGCAAAGATGGATAGATTAAGAAAGTTGGGAGTTTAGCTGAGTACCAACATATTTATTGTCTATTCCTTTTTTCTTGACCCTCTGTAAAGTAACAGGATTTCTATAAGAATCCCACACAACTTTTAAAAATCTGAATTGCTGCTGTGAGATACAGCAGCATATGTTCCCTGCCCTCTTCCTCAGTACCAATCCATTGATTTGAGTTACTTATAGGCATTGGTAAAAAAAAAAAGCTTTGGCTGTACTAAGAAATGTAAATAATAGAAAAACTAAACGCTCCTTTTTTCATGTCTAGGAAACAGAGGAAAAAGCTTCATGACAGGCTTCGGCAGAGTCTTCGGTCTGAACGGAACAACATGGTGAACATAGCAAATGGGCCTCACCATCCTAACCCACCCCCCGAGAATGTACAGCTGGTGAATGTATGTTGATTCTGGCCAATGGAAAAATACTGAACATTTCCCTTTTATTCTGGCACCTTGAAATTTATTTTCTAAAGCTTTTAGGCTATTAGATGCCAGCATTAATCACCATGACTTCCAGGAAACCAAGATTTTGCCAGGAAAAAAAACAATGGGAACATTTTCTAAAGTAGATTTGGTTACTGTAAAACCATCACATTCCCTCTTATAAAATGTTCATTAAGGGGTTGGAATAATAATGTTGGGTTTGCTCTACAGGGATGTCATAATGAGAAAAAAAAGAAAAAAAATAGAGTCAGAAAAAATATTTATTTTTTAATAATTTGGAAATGAAGGCTATCTCCACTCTATGACTGATTAGTTCAGATCACTGAGGAAAGAGCTTTTGAGTTATTTTTATTAGCGGCACTTCACAGTGTCTGATGACTTACTGATTCTGATTTCCAAGGAGAGAAATCAGGGCACGGAAAGGTCAAGTGACTTATCAAACACACTTCTCAGTAGCAAAGCTAGGAGAATATAATGCTTATGCTCTGGATCCTTCTCTGTGGTGTCAAGCCCTCCAGATGTAATCATGCAAATATTTTGTTTATACTTTACCAGGAAATTGACTTTTAAATTTAACTGGATCATAGACTGTTCAACACTGGAAACTGTTTACTTATAATCTTGCAAATCTTTTTTATAGATAACGGCCAGAGCTATAGACGGATCTCTTGGCTTTTGAAGTATTGTTCCTTGTATTCCAGCATAATACTTCTTTTTGACCTCTTGTATTTTTTTCATTTCCCTCTGATGTAGTTTTTAACAGACAAAGCTTGAAGTTTGTATTGCGCTAGCATTTTCTACAGTACAGTAAGAAAAGGTATATTTTGAGTGGAGCAGATAAATCATAGACTTAAGTCTGGAGTTGGCTGTTACTGAGCTGGAACCAACTGTTGTGGCAAAGACCTTAAGGAGACAGTTTGAGCACTGTGCTAATAGGTTAACAGACTGTATGTCTTCCCTCTCCCTCACCATGTTTAGAATATTCTGAAGATTGATAATTGCATCTATTACCAACACAACGATCCATCTCTATGTGTGTTATAAGATAGGAATCACATTACCATGGCAGCCTGGACTTCAGTTATGGTTCAAATAGTGTGACTTTAAGCTGTAACCTTTTTACAACCCTTATTTCTTCATTATGAAAATAAATTTATAATTAATATCTATCTCAAAGACTCCTTATCAGCATTAAATACAATAATCTATATGAAACAGTCCTATGACACTTAGTGTTCAATAATTGTTAAATATCATTTTCATTAGATTCACTGAGCTTAAGTGTTCTCCCATGAAGCAAGAGTAGAGTGTGCACTGACCGGAGTCACTCTGTATCTTTTCCTTAAAGCAAGGCAGCTACACTTCCCAGGAAGATCTTTGTGAAATAATCTTGCATAAACAGAACCGGCTAGAATTTCAAGCATAATTCAAATTGTGTATTTTGGGGCTTCCTTGAAGATACCCAGTTCTTTAAACTCCAGGGCTTAACAGACTATAAGTTTTCTGATACATCAAAGAATATTGCTTTCTACTCCTTTTTCTGTTATTTAACTCAATTTGTTAGTAATACCAATGGTGTTTGAAACATAACTTCAGAAACAACTTTTAAAAATATAACTTCTCACTGATAAAAGGCAATAACAGCTACTGTGGTTTGCTGATGGAAATAAAATAGAATCTAATTGCAGTAAATATAAGGCCCTATGTATATTAAGTACATTGTCAAGATATATCTTGACAACTATTGTAAGCCCTTCAAATTTTGCAATAGCTTTGTTAGTCTTACCTAAGTTAGAAATGTCAATGATATCAGAAAGATAACATGTATCCTACGAAATTGAGAAAGAAATGTAGATTTAAGATACAGATATTTAAAAGTTTTTTGTGGCTTGAAATTTGAAGTAAAACAGGGATGTCTCTGCTTTTATTTTACTGAAGTATCTGTTAGCTTTTTACTTACAGCAACCCTGGCAAAAAATGAATATTGTACAGTTTGTTTTGAATTCTAGTCATGTCATCAATTGGAAATGAGACAGGCAAATGAGGTCTTTTTCTGACAGAATGGAGTTATGATTTTAGAATCTATATTCTGTACACCTACAGACAGTAATTCATTAATTCCATTCATTTATTCTAAAAGCTAGCATAGCTAAGAGAGGATTTTCAGTCTGGCCATTGGAGAAATACAGCTGTTGGCTGTATGAAGCATATGTACAAGAATAGATTTGCATGTGTAACAGTATTCATATTTCAATATACGTGAATCCTAAAGTCGTGTCTCTTTGTTTTTCCAGCAATACGTATCTAAAAATGTCATCTCTAGTGAGCATATTGTTGAGAGAGAAGCAGAGACGTCTTTCTCCACCAGTCATTATACCTCAACCACCCATCACTCCACTACTGTCACCCAGACTCCTAGTCACAGGTATGAGAATTTAAAAATTTCATAGCATTGCTCTAAGAATGATTTTTTTGCATGTTCCCTTTTGCTGCCAGTGTCTAAGAAAGAGAGATGTGTAGGAGGCAAAAAGTTGTACAGTCCTTGGACATAAACACACTTTGAATACCAGTGCAGTCCATCCTTAATTGCTGTGTAAATCTGTACCTCTACCCCAGAAAAAAAGGATGGTACCTACCTCACAGAATTGCTGTTCCCCATTCTAGAGATTGTCTTTACTTGTGTGTGGCTACTTACTGAATCATTTCCTGAGAAGTCTGTCCTAGACCTGTAAGAATACCTAATACATAGTGACATTCGATAAGTAATAATGAATGAGTGAACAAGTAAATAAATTGTATGCTCACAAAGCCAGTATGAATGAAGATCTTCTCTGTAGCAAGGATCTTTGTAACAATTCTATTCTTAGACAGCAAATGTTGTAGTGAGCCACTGAGGCACCAGTAATTTGAAGTACGGTATTTGTCAGACTTGCTTCGATTCATTTCCATTTTTGCATATAATGAAAATAAAAATCTCATAGCCTCTCACATTTCTTCCCCTCTAGCTGGAGCAATGGACACACAGAAAGCATTATTTCAGAAAGCCACTCTGTAATTGTGATGTCATCAGTAGAGAACAGTAGGCACAGCAGCCCCAGTGGGGGCCCAAGAGGACGTCTCAGTGGCCTGGGAGGCCCTCGTGAATGTAACAGCTTCCTCAGGCATGCCAGAGAAACCCCTGACTCCTACCGAGACTCTCCTCATAGTGAAAGGTAAAACTGAAGGGCAAAGCTACTGCCGAGGAACCTCAGTAGCAGAATCCTGTGAGCACCTGCAGTCTTACCTAAGAAAAGCCGCCTGATCAGGATCGGGGTGGCAGTTTCCTGTTCTAGGAGTGCTTCTAGTTGATGAAGTCATCTTTTTGTTTGACTGAACTCATTTCCTCTGAGCTTCTCGCATCATCCCATTGGCTGACAGGCAGCAGACTCTTAAAGAGCTAGAGTAATTTGATGTGGAAGGTGCAGCAGACTTTTAGTTCCCAGACCCAGCTGTAGTCTCTGACCCCCTCCGCGTCTCTGTTTCCTCAGTTGCCTCCTTAGACGGGTGGCATTAGTGCTTGATAAGGACCCTCCCTTCTCTAAATTCTAATCTGCCACTTACCCAAACCTTAATTTGGGGGTCGAGCTGGCCTTGTGTTCTCATGTGTTAACTCTGTCTTACCTTCCAGCCTCACTTAAACCAAATTAAGGGCTATGTCACTACTGGCAGCCATGGAGGACCAGCTGCTGGTGTTCCACCGTATCGTATCCCTTTTATGACATTCCAAGGAGGGATGAATAAATAAATAAATCTCTCTTATGCCATATCTGGCAGTTTTCACAGATGGTTTTCAGAGCAGACATGTTTTCAATGTGGCCCTTTGTTCCAGAATGCTTGAGCTTCCTCTGGGGAGATTGGGTTGGGTTGTGGGAGTAACAGCAAAGGTAAAATGAAGAATGGAGGAAACTAACCTCAAAGAGATATTTAATAGGAATATTGAATTCATAGATTCTCTCTTTTGCATTCTCATCTATCCTGGAAGATAGCTTTTCCCAATTGGCTGTCTTAGCCCATCTATAAATTGTTACCTATTTGTTTTATAATCTACCAGTTTTATTTTATTGTATGGTCATTTCAGTCTAATCTTCCACCATATACGGTTTATATAATGCCAAATCCACATTTATTTGGTAGTTATATGGTTGGAAATGATTTTGAAAGACTCTTTCCTACTTATGGACTTGGAGATCCTCACAACCAAGAGTGGCCCATTCTGAGCTTGTGTGTCACATAGAGCCTCCAGGTCACTTCTTCAACACCTTTTCCCCAAAAATGGTATTTTAGTGCTGTATGGAATTTATGGGATTAGAGTGCTCCCTGCAACCCACCTGTAAAATTGTGGGCAGGAGCCAAAGCCAGCCTAGGACATTCATCCTAAAGTTGTGTAATTATATTTTTATGTATTTAAAAATTCTGTCCAATCTAATTAAATCTTTATGAAACCCGAAAGGAGGTTAGGGGTGAAATATTTCTTCATCACTACCTGAGATGTGACTCTTTGAAAGACTGACATGTCCCTGTTGGGGTTAGGCTTCCATACCTACCCCACATACTATCTAGGTCTGCAGAATATGCCTACATTTAAAGGTCATGGGGAGAAAAGATGAATCACTCGTGTGTGTTACCTGAATTTGGATTCCCATTTCGCAGAGCTTAATTTAAGTACCCCCAAAACAAAAGTCTGCAGACTCAGACCCCAAATACTCCACTCTCTAAGACACTTTTCTATTTTAGACACTGCCGGATCTCACATCCACATCACTATGACTCATAGAAAAGTGGGAAAGATAGTAGGCTTCCTGTTCCTGTTAGCTAGAGAGCAGACAGTGGTTTCCTGTGTCCTCACAAGTCACATCAAATTAGACATGGTGAATGTCAGTATAAAGGAAAGAGTCACTTAGTGCTGTGCATTCATAATATTTTTATCCAGAGCTGAGAAGTGTGACCCATCTTCCTCAGTGCCAAAATTCAAGCCCTCTTACTTTCAGAGAAGAAAGCACAATATGGTAAAAGCAATGGACTCTGTCTCAACAGTGAGATCCAGTGAGCATTATCAGAGGTAGTGTGACCTGAGGTATCATATTATAGTGCAGTCAGTCCCGGAGCAGTCACAAAAAATTGCCAGGCAATACTGATGGTGGGTTCGGAAGAGAAGTGGGCTGAATATTGGACATTGTCTCTATTCTGGTAACTGTCACCCTAACAAAAGGCTGTCCCTAGCTTGCCTTTGACTGTCTTGCACCCTGGGATGGGTAGTAACATTTCATGGAAAAAATTAAAAGCACACAAATTGTATTACACTGTTGTCAGGAATAAATCTGAGTTACTATGCTCTTTTTTTTTCATAAGACATAACCTTATAGCTGAGCTAAGGAGAGACAAGGCACACAGATCCAAATGCATGCAGATCCAGCTCTCAGCAACTCATCTTAGATCTTCTTCCATTCCCCATTTGGGCTTCATTCTCTAAGACCCCTTGGCCTTTAGGAAGGTATAGTATTTAAGTAATACTTCTTTCCTTTCTGAATCCCTGAGCCTCAGTCTTTATAACTCGCGAGATTTCCAAGACCAAGTGGCCTCTTTTCATGGCTTACACGCGTTTATTTAAACTCATGATGAGATTGAAAATCCCAAAAGCTTTGTTGAGCTAGACAATTTAGCAGATCTTTGCATGGACTCCTATAAGGAAACTCTTGGGTACATAATGTTAGATTCCAAGGGTGCTGAATTTCCTAGTTGTAAAAATCGAGCTGTATACAGTGAGTGTTGTTCTCAGCTTGTATCATATCATGAACTCTGTACCCTTACCCTCCCTGTTATATGCCTCTTATTCAACCACACTTATGCGGGGTATTCTGTGCTCAAACAGGTATGTGTCAGCCATGACCACCCCAGCTCGTATGTCGCCTATAGATTTCCACACGCCAAGCTCCCCCAAATCACCCCCTTCAGAAATGTCTCCACCGGCATCCAGCATGACGGTGTCCATGCCCTCCATGGCAGTCAGCCCCTTCATGGAAGAAGAGCGACCTCTACTTCTTGTGACGCCACCAAAGCTGCGAGAGAAGAAGTACAATCATCACCCTCAGCAGTTCAGTAACTTCCATCACAACCCTGCACATGAGAGTAACAGCCTCCCCCCTAGTCCCTTGAGGATAGTAGAGGATGAGGAGTATGAGACCACCCAGGAGTACGAACCAGCTCAAGAGCCTGTTAAGAAACTCGCCAATAGCCGGCGGGCCAAAAGAACCAAGCCCAATGGCCACATTGCCAACAGGCTGGAAATGAACAGCAATACAAGCTCTGAGAACAGTAACTCAGAGAGTGAAACAGAAGATGAACGAGTAGGAGAAGATACACCGTTCCTGGGTGTACAGAACCCCCTGGCAGCCAGCCTTGAGGCAGCACCTGCCTTCCGCCTGTCTGACAGCAGGACTAACCCAGCAGGCCGCTTCTCGTCACAGGAAGAATTACAGGCCAGGCTGTCTAGTGTAATTGCTAACCAAGACCCTATTGCTGTATAAAACTTAAATAAACACATAGATTCACCTGTAAAACTTTATTTTATATAATAAAGTATTCCACCTTAAATTAAACAATTTATTTTATTTTAGCAGTTCTGCAAATAGAAAACAGGAAAAAACTTTTATAAATTAAATATATGTATGTAAAAATGTGTTATGTGCCATATGTAGCAATTTTTTACAGTATTTCAAAACAAGAAAGATATCAATGGTGCCTTTATGTTATGTTATGTCAAGAGCAAGTTTTGTACAGTTACAGTGATTGCTTTTCCACAGTATTTCAGCAAAGCCTTCCATATATTCAGTTTTTGCTGGCTTCTTGTGCATTGCATTCTGATGTTGACTGGATGTATGATTGGCAAGACTTGCAACTGTCCTTCTGTTTGTCTGTAGTAGCACCCAGTCAGTATGTCTTGCAATGGCACATCCATCCAAATACTCTTATCTTTTGTACGAAGCTTTTTTTGCTTTCAGAATATGAAATGAGTTCTGTTTATTCTGTCAGCCAAAGGTTTGCTTCATTGGGCTCTGAGATAATAGTAGATCCAACAGCATGCTACTATTCAATACAGCAGGAAACTGCATTAAGTAATGTTAAATATTAGGAAGAAAGTAATACTGTGATTTAAAAAATCTATATTATTACTCAGAAGACAGCTTGTTCTTGCTAAAAGAACCTACCACTTACTTTAATTTATTTTTCTTGACAAAAAGCAACAGTTTTAGGCATAGCTTAGAAAACGGGTTCTGGCCTGCTATTAGGTTAAATCTAAAAACTTAGAAGAGGACTCAGCTTTACTTTCTCTCTGGGGGAATGATCCAGCAGCTCATTTATTTGAACAACAGACCACAACTGATAATGGTGCAATCATTTCTGACTTGTATCTTCCACTGATTTGGGAGCTACTGATTGGTTGTGTCTTCTCAGCTCCAGGAGAGGCAGATCTTGGCATCAAAAGCCCAGTGCAAACAATACACTCAGCAGTCTGCCTGAAACTCTTCTGAAGTTAAATGTTCCTTTTGTACATAATGGAGACTTGTCATCATTGGAAATTGGTTTCATTGTTGAGTGTTTAGAAGGCATGAGTGTGTAGAAGACATAGGTGGAGGGCAGCTGTGTGACTTGGTTGACATTTTCGACTACTACTTTCTCTCCATTATGTTCCTTTTATTTTTCAGCATTGCCTTGATTAGGTTGTAACTATGCATGGACATCTGTTGTCAGGAATGGCCAATGTGCATGTGATTTGTTATTAGTAAGAACCTTCCTCCAGTGGTGACTTATCAGGAAATGTCAGTGTTGGAAAGATTGCACCTTTACTTACAGAAGTGACCCCCACCTGTAGACTGACCTTTCCATTTACAGCCTGCATCACCCATTTTTCCCTTGCTTAATTTTTGCTTTATTGTTGCGACAGCAGGACTAAGATTGGTCTAAATTTTGCATGTTCTCTTGTGATTGTAAATCCAATGAAGGCCTATAGGTATTAACATTTTGAAATAATTGCTAATCCAAGGAAAAGAAGAAAATTTTAATGCAGAGCCCGTTTTTTGCCTGCCTGATACCTGTTAAACCAAGGCTAGAGCTTTACCTAGGTTCCAAGTAGCCTCTTAGGAGTCATGGGACAAAATGGGAAACAGGCTAGCAGCAAGTTCACAGTGTCAAGGAGAGTAATTGCTTCTTGTTTGCAAGAGAAAATGTATTTCTTCACCAAATCTTTATTTTACAAATCAGAGGGAAGAAAGGACATGCAAGTAGGTCTTAGAAGAAAAATGTAAACTGAGTATGAGTAAAAGTCTTTGCACTCCTACCATGTTTTGTGTTTCTACAAACCACTGACAGGCTCATCTACACGTCCTTGATGTCACTATATTTGGTATTCTTAGGTTTTCGTCATTGTTCACCTGCCACTTTCTCTGTGCTCAACATTGTTCTAGTTTGCTTTATAACATACACAGAGGAGGCCCTGTCAGTTTGTGCTAATTTCCCAATTGTGTAGAAATGAGTCAGCTCATGGATGGGAAAGAAGGCCATCAGTCTGAAGATGCTCTCTAAATCATTTTGACATTGCCTTTGAAGGCCTTGAGTCATTCTTCAGTATTTCAATAAAGAAATTCCTATCATTATTTCAAAACCCTAAACATTCTGTTTTAATTTCTTTGGGCACTGGAGTATTCATTTGACCCATTCAGAAAAATTTCAGGAATAAGTAGGCTTCTTATAAGAAAAATGAGGGACATTTTCCTCAGTTTGATCATTGCTATAAATTTTCAAATTTCATATATATATATGTGATATTTTATTTCCAACCTGACTTTGATCACTCACAGAGGTGGCATATTAGGTGAAACAGCCTTTCCACTTCAGAACAAGAGCTTTTCTTGATCAGAAAGGTCAGCTGGATGCTCGGGGCTCCCTATTGCAGCCACCACATTTATGTTCCTAGGGACATCTCTGTGACACTTTGTTGCCACATTACTCACACGCACCCCTAATTATAAATTCAAGTGGTGCAGCGGCAAACCAAAGGGGTATAAACCTGTGTTCCTAGCATATAGAAAGCTTTCTTGGTTTTTAAGGGAATGGAAATTGCAGAGAAGTTTGCCAGCTACTTTGTTTCCTGGGTCTGAAATTGTACCCCATTGCGAGCATAGTATGTGCAAAACTCCTTCTTTCTTACTCAAGATTAATTTTCTATACTGCTTTCATTTATATCCTTTCTTCCCCAAGACTGCCTGGTGAACAGCCTTCTGCTTCCCCCAAAATGGTACTCTGTATAGGTGAATGTGTCCCAAACAGCAATATGTCATCTTTTATTGTTTCATCGTGACTGTCGTGATGCAGATGGAGTTGACCCAGGGTAACTTGCTCAGTAACTACTCCTTTTTTTGCCCTGGAGTTGAAGGGTGTATGGCTCACATTGGTAAAAACAAAGAAAGCCTGGTCTTATCTTTTAATACTGGCTGCCTTCCATCAGCCACAGAAATTTTTTTATCCACCGAGACCCATGAGACACTGCAGAGACTGCAGGCAAAAGGGAATAGCCACATATCACAAGTTCTATTACATATTCTTTTGTAAATACATATTGTACATTACTTGGATGTTTTCTTAAATCATTTACTGTCTTTATGAGTTAATGGCAGTTTTTACTCTCAGCTTACTGTGTAACATTGTAAATAACATAATGTCCTTTATTATTTATATTTAAACATCTAACATAGAATTGTTTTCATATAAGTTTAAGATAAATGTCAAAAATATATGTTTTTGTTTTTCTTTGCTTTAAAATTATGTACCTTTTCCTTTTTAAATAATTTATTGTTCAGGAGAAAGAATGTATATGTATTTGAAACTATTTGAAGAATGCACATTTGAAGACCGTGAGGTACTGATAAACTAAAGAATTTATTATCCAAAATACTAAGCAATAAGTAATTGTGATTTATTTAAAGTTTTGTTTATTTCCCAAGAAAGTCATACTGCAATAAAAAATGCTACTCTGTGGAGACTTGGGCATGTTGCTCAGCAGACTAATGTTCCAGTCTGTTGGACCAGCACCTTTGTCTTACTGGGACAGTTGTACTAATTTAGGCATGTGTTCCATGACCCACGATCATCTTGTCTGTCTGTTGCCTTTGCCACACTGCCTGTCCGTGAATCATCTGCCTCCTGATTCTGTTTACCACTTTATTCCTTGTTGAAGGGGCCACACAGTCAAGGAATGTGATGTTTCCTTCCAACCTTCCCCATACACAATAACCTCAGATAGAAACATTTTAGGCATAACAACCTGGATCTTGGTTATTGATATGTTCTGTAGAGACAGCCAGAAACTTCTTCAGATTAATGGAAATGTCAGTGTGCCAGTCCTATTCACTCATGAGAGGAAAAAAGAAAAAAAAAAAAATGCTGTCATGGTTCAAATGATCCAGAGATCACAATCGCCTGAAAAACAGCCATGCTAACCTTCCCTATAGCTTCAATAAATTTGCTTTCCATCAAGCCTACAATTTATCATTTCACAGTATTTTTAAAAAAGAGTAAAGCTCAATTGAGTTCATCCCCCTTATTCTATCAATACAGCAAGACAAACTGATACCCACCTTACTGCTCAGGGAGGGGCTTGTGTATGAAATATTTCACATTCTAAGACTTGGCATAGAAATAAAGATAGTACTTTTCTTATTGTAATTAAGCTAAACAAAAGCCATATTTTAACAAGTAGATATCTGTGTGGTACTTTATTCATTATCTCAGATGTAAGAGTTTCTGCAGGATATGGAGTAAAAGTGAGCAATCCTTTGGGCTGTTCAGTGGTTTCCTTTGGAGTTTGAGTATAACCTGAGCTTCCTGTCAAAGTCCAAACCTCCATGGATGCACACAATTCCTATCACATAGTAATAGTTCCACCAGCATCATTTCCGAACAGTCTGGATGTCTAGGAGATTTAAATACAATAGTAGGCTTTGGCCATCAAATTAATTCTCTCATACACTAGTTATTCTAAGTATTCTGTGTATTCTCTGATCTGCTGCAAGAAATTAAAGACTGAGATACTTTCTTCAATTTATGCTGAGGCATTCTCCAACCCCTGTGGCTCCCCATTGAAAGCCAGAAGCAGCTACTTTAGTAATTATGGTAAAATTGTTTATGTAAGCTGTCACGATATATGAAGCCAAAGCATATGTCCAGGAAGTTGGTATGGAAAAGAATGAAGATTCACTTTAAGACAAATATCTGGATAATTATTGCAGTTCTTCACTCATAATTGGTTCTTGAATGTCAAAACCAGGCCAGTTTTGCAAATTAGCAAAAGATCTGCCATTTTTGCCAATCATCAGATTTCTTTTCTCTCTGTTCTGGTAATAATGACCAAATGACTTGATATCAGGGATTTGGAGTTAGATGAAGTAGGTCTGAAATCCAGAGACTTAAGATGCGGGAAGAAGTAGACATTTTTGATGATCTTAGAATCAGTTTGCACTCTATCTCTTACTTGTCCTCTCTGACACAGATGCAGTAAAGCAATGTTATGGAAATGGTTACTACAAAAGAATAATGTGGTAGGGCACAGAAATTCTTTCAGCTTATGAAAGACAGAAATGTCCTGTTGGTATAAGAAGCTGCGATATTCCTGAGCTTTAAGGTTATTGTTGGATAAAGTAGTTTTGCTACCCCCTCCTACATCTTTAGGCTCCTGTGGACATCCTAGTACTGCTGTTGCTAGATATTCCTGATGAGATATTGGTTATGAACTTCAGTTGACAGTGGCTTTCTCCACCTACCTCCCATTGAAGTAACTATCTTAGTAATTTAGGTTAAAATTGTTTACCTAAGCCATCATAATATTAGAGGCAAAAGCATATGTGGAGGAGGTTGGTGTGGAAAAGAATGAAGATTCCCTTTAAGACAATTCTCTTGAAAACATCATCTACCATAGGATAAGGGTTGTGTTGCTGGAGGTCACTACCATGATATATCTGATCCTTTTTAAAACACCAGAGAAAGAAGATCAGTAAGTCCTAAAGAGCAGACAGAGAATGGAATAATAGCTCCACCCAGCATCTTTTTCCTACCCTTCTCTTTCAGGTGATCTTATTGAGGACAGTTTGATAGAGGAAAAGATATCTCCTCCTACCATACCTACAGCATGGCAGAAAAACAAGAATTATCTCTGTAGATTTAAACATCTTTAATATCCAATGCACAATTTCCTCAGATATGGAAAAATGAATCATATAATGCTTTATAATACTTATAGCCTTTATCTTTTAAAATTATTTATACTCATACAATAAATAATGAGAAAAATTTAAGCACAAAGACGTTGAAAATTCTTTCTCAGACTTACATATCTAGTGAGTTATAGAAAGAATATTTGTACCTAGGTTTCCTGACTATAATTTGTATTTTTCTTCAGCTACTCCCCCCACCCCCTTTCCCAGTACAAACAGGTCTTTCATTTTTTAGGTCTTCCCTTATATAGAGAGTATAAGTTACATCTAAAACCAAGTCTCTTTTTGGAAGAATGTTAGCCCCTCTGGCTTTGGGTTAGAGATATTCTGGGATCTAATTTGCTTGGTTTTGCAACTCTGTGAATCTTTCCCTAATCTCAGCCTTCTAAAGAAATGAAATGTAGCTGTGAATGAATTCATAGGTTCATTGTGTAGAATGTATCCTCTTGTGAAAAGAGAAGTTTGGGGCCAGATTACTGTCCTTACCATTTAGCATTGTGAATTTGGGTAGTTTCCTGTTCCAGTTACTTCCTGATCTCTGACTACCAGACAGTGGTTCAGTGTGGATTAAATTTGAACGCAACTAAGAAAACTAAAAGGTGTCTGACATATAGTGAGAATTCAAACGCTGCCTTCTACTTTCATCTCTAGGTCCTTAAGCTTTGGAGCCTAATTTTCTCAGTTCCAAATGCAGTGCACTATATTACAAACTGATCAACATATTTTATCATCTCTAATCTAGTGCCAGTAAGCAAATTCTTTTTAGTAACAACTATATGTTGAAAAGAGTCACCAAAGAACCTTCAAAGTTGTAGTGTAAATAATTTTTGTGTATTTTATAATGCATTACAGTTACAATTACTTTCTATGTAGCCATAAGATTCTATGTGAGTTCCCTAATTTATTTTTGTTTTTTTTATGTTTTTGAGGTTTTTGGGTACCAGGGATTGAACTCAGGACCTTGCACTTGCGAAGCCGTCGGCAGAACCACCGAGCTAAATCCCTGGTCCCTGAGTTCCCTAATTTTTAATGGCTTATTCCATTAATGTTTCAATATAATTTCAGAAATTTACAGAAACATGACTTTTTGTAGAGTTTTCATAACACTGCCTTTAAACTTCATTGCAAACCTTTAATAGAAGCATCTAAAAAATGCTCCTATCCTGACAGTATATATCTGTGCACACCTGTTTGCCTTAGTCTTTCACTCTCAAGGTTCAAAGAGACATACTACATTTCTTCAAAGAGCTATCATTTCATCAAAGGTCTGCAAAGTGACCAAATTAGAGTACTCAGTTCTCAGATTAACACCTAAATTCAAGAAACTCCCATTGTCTACCCATCATTCTTCACTTCATGCATAAAATAGCATTCTTCTCTCTTATTTTGAGTATAATGAAATTAATTTATGGATTTAAACTATTTAGATCAAACTCTTTAAAACTTCATTCTGTATGGATGAAGGAGTGATGATATCAATCATCAGGCATTGTTAACCACAAAGGAGTCTAATTTTACACCTGTTCTCTTTCCTGTAAGTAAAGAAAAATGTATCTTTCCTGAAGACAATCATAACTGTAGCTACTATAAAGATAATGCAAAGGGACATTTTCTTATTTTTTAAAGAAATCTTCTAGTGTAAACTTTGTATCTTTCTAATTATTATTATCATATGTTAGGTAACACTTGCCAACTCTTCCTTGACTTTCATAAGAGGATCTCATTTGCCCCCATGAGAGGTGCTCAGAAATTTTCACCAGGTGTGGGAACCTCAGGCCAGTGTCTAGAGCCCTTCCAGTGGAGTCCAAAGTGAGCTTTTATCTTCTTCAGATAAAGGGGCCTCATTGGCCTACATTTTTGCAGCTAGTAAGATGCATTCTAGGCTCTCTCCACTATGAAGAATACAGAGAAAATGCCACAAATAAGTGCCACTTGTTCCCAGTTCCCATTTCCATGCAGCCACGTTCTCCCAATTGTGAGATGATTCTGCCCTCACACAAGAGGCCCCCACAAAAATTCCCCCTACCCTCAGAATGACTGGTGTTTAAAGGTCTTCTTTTCTCAGCTCTCCCCTTTACCGATTTCCAAACAGACATGATAATTAACCTGGCTAATCATTCTACATTGTACATGTGTCAAGTTTTCATACAATACCCCTTAAAGATGTGCATATATTATGTGTCAGTAAAACAGTATCTGAAGTCATGAAACCATGTAACTTTCTACTCTGAACAAAAACCGAGTCAGAGATGATTTGGTTTATGGAAATTTAAAGTAATTTTATTTATCTACAAAATACTACTTGATTAGTTGTAGGTCCTTTAGAAAACTTTAGGGCACAGTCACATAGCATTATATATTTTTCATTATTTGCTTGACCAACAACTTCTCTTTTATAACATGAAAAGTTGCTAACCTCAGCACGCATTTTGGAGGCTACTCTGATTTGAGGAGTTAAATCTCTAGCCAGAAAAGTGAAGAAAGAACCGTGGATTCTTTCTATTAAGATGTTAACTAACACAGAATTAATGAGATAGAGGTTTCCACTCAGGGTCAAAATCATAATGAGCAAATATCCTCCCACTTGGGGATAGTAGAGCCACATGTCATCACTCCAGTGACCAACGCAGACCTTAGCAATATTCCAGATCTCTCCCTCCACACCAATTGATGGCAGGTGATTATATCACTCATCTGTCAAACAAATCCATCCCCTCCACACCATTGCTGCTTCTACCTTTGTTTATGCTCTCATCATCTCGCACAGTGCCCATCAGCCTCCTAACTCATCTACAGTGGACCCTTGACTTATGAACTTGATCAATTCCCAAGGGCTGGTTTGTAACTCAAGGTGGTTGTAAGTCAATACAATTGAGATCTGGATGTTTACCTGGGTGCATGCTATAAACAACAAGAGGTAGAGGAATCTTTCATTAACCTAATTAACCCAAGTTATTTGTATGTCAGGCTGGTTGTAACCTGAGGGTCTACTGTACTTCATCAACTCCTCTGGGCAATCCTTCACCTTCTGCTGGAAGATTCTATCAAGTTTAATCACAGTCTGGCTTTTGCCAGGCTGTTCCTGCTCATCTCTCACCCTCATCCTTCATTCCAATCTTAGGAATTTTTGTTTCCCAAATACAGTGCTATCAAACCC